TAGGAGAAATAGACAGAGGACATAATTTTGCCAGAGGGACGACAACGATCAAAAATATTCGAGCATCCAGTAGAAAGAAACTCACTGCGTCGAACGTTAAATTTTTCAATCATTGGGCTTTGTTGTACGAAATATTTGAGATGGTTGATATCTTGAATATTGGAGGCAAACCAATCTTTGACGATTACATCGTCAAGTTCAAGTTTCACATGTACGTATAATCCGTACGTCAATACAACGTTTGGACATAGCAATGAGATAAGGCATACAACAGGATTTATACACGTTACCGTGTGAAAGCATTTCTACTTCAAAAGTAGATTGACTTCAAAAGAAAAAAAATGTACAAAAGTAGTCAAATCTTGGATGTAATTGTGTGGCGTTTATATTCAATGAAATTCGATATGAACTCAGATATTGATCACAGCAGAAACGTTGGAATAACTAGTCTTATAAAGAGTTATGCAACGTTTTCTAATGAAATCGTATATAGTTTGCATAATGCTGGACTTTATCGACTCTAATGATACCGCGAAAAGCCTAATGACAGACGATGGATACTTTAATTTTTATGTACCGCTCAACATGTTGTTGGGCTTTTGCGAGGATTACAAATATGTGATAATTAACGCTCGTCACGAATTAATTTTGATATGTGCGCGCAACGGTAATAATTACATAGTGGGAGATCCAACGACAGAGCCGATGCTTGAATTCAAAGTACAGTGGCGAATGCCTCACGTTGCGTTAAACGAAGTTAATAACTATCCATAATTAAACTATCCATGTTGCGCGCTTTAGAGAGTGGACGATATTTGAGTATGAATTTCCATTTGTGGGATTTGTATGAGTACCCCCTATTGCTAAGTACAACGAAGCATTCCTGAGCCATCAAGACACCTGGAAAAACCACGATATGTTATTTTTGGTCTATAAACTGATAAAAAAAATATATATGACAGCACGTAAAACTTACTTCGACAACTGTAAATTAACCGATGCGAAACTTTATCTAGACTCTGAATTTTGTCCGTATGATGAATCTACTTTGACAAACGCAGAACTATTATTTTGTATGATATATATTTACATTTCCATACGTCTTACTATCAAATCCCTCGTGAAAGAAGTGAATCATCATTCCAATTAAACTGCTTTTTGAAAGATTTTATTTTAGTAATCATTGATTGCTCGCGACAAAACGAGTCCGTCAAGAGTGGCACCGTGAATGTACGATTAGAATTTGAATTCAAAGAGAATGTACCCGCGAATACAATTATCTATTGTCTCATACACGACCGCGTGATCGAATATAGCCCAATGTCAAATGTAGTACTCAAGATTACGTAAATTATCATCATCAAAAAAATATCCACCCCTCTCTTTAATATATGAGATAAAATCTAAGATCTTTTGTGATCAAGCAGTCTCAAAATGTCGTTCACCATAACTATACCAACGTTTGTGGATCTGTAAGGATTTATCGTTGAAAAGAAATTTGTCGTGAAGGAAGTGGCGGTATTGAGAAAAGAAGCCATTCTCTCTCATTACATTTTTATGTGTCCCTTGCCATAGAATTTCTTGACAAAGTCGCTTCCTAGTTACGCTTCCTAGTTGAATGCTTATCACCATGGCTTGGAATGGGAAGACGGAATGATCCCATACAGCATGACGAAATGCCTGATTACAATTGGAGTAGAAGAAAGTGACGACAATAAGGCTTTTGTATACGTTAATGAACGTAAAAAACGCGAATGGCTGGCTGATATACTCGATAGCATCAACTTGACCATTGAAACTTTGGATTCTGATTACGAAGATATAAATTCTTTACATAATTTAATGTTCTTACGAGGGCAAGTCAATAAGTTCTTAGAAAATCTGTCAGAGGGCACTCGCAGTGTCATGTCACATTACTTTTTGACAAGTAGCATCTTTTAGCTGATTACTGTCAAATTTTGAGCGGAATTCATCGCGTGGTTTCATTCCTGCAGACGATTAAAGTGAACAACCTTTGTATTTTTTGCCAAAATGGAAAAAAACGAGTTTCGTGCAGTGATTAAACATCAACATATGAAAGGTTTAACGCCGAAAGAAATCAAAGCCGAGTTGGATAATGTTTATAGCACATCTACACCAGCGTTTGCGATTGTATACAATTGGGTAAATGTGTTTAAACGTGGTTGCATTCACATGTGATGCATTCACATGTGATCTCTCGTTTGGGACGTCCAATTAAGGCTGCTACGCCAGAAATCATCGATAAAGTCCACGATGTTGTTTTGACTGATCGACGAGTGAAAGTGCGCGAGCTTGTTCAGGCCACAGACATATCACATGGCACAGTGATTTCAATTTTGCACGAACAAATGAGTATGAAAAAGCTATCGGCAAGATGGGTGCCGCGTTTGCTCACTGTGGACCATAAGTGCGACCGTGTGACGATTTCAAAACAATGATCGAGATCGGACAGTAGAGCGGTGGCGTTGCTCGCCCATTTTCGAAGACGAAAGACTCCTTTTTGTACTATAACTCTATCAATTGATCGCGTGTTTGACGAGTAAGAATCTGCACCGAAAGCGCAATCGTCAACATATATCTGATGACGTAAAACGGAAACCGCGAGCAGAAATTTGACATGTTCATCGTTGATGAGTTGATCTAAGACCCGAAAGGCTAAGTAGAGAGCGGTGGCTGTGCCATAAGTAACGGTAAGAAGACGGTAATCCGTGATTGATTCACCAGGGATAGGATGCCACAAAATGCGCTGGTAGTCGGTGTCCTGGAAGTCAACTAAAATTTGCCGATATACATTTTGGCGATATCGGTGGTAGACACGTAACGGTATTGGCGTCAATGCATTAAACAGTAGCTAAATTCCTCTGTAGTTTAGGGCCATTTAGTCGTTCAATGACGTTCCCGTTTGAAGTGCAGCATGAAGCGTTGAACACAACTAAGCGGGTGGTTACACTGCTATCACGTAAGACAACGTGATGCGAAATATAATAAATTTGCTCTGGTTTGACAATTTCTATCAATAGACTTTTAGTCATATGATCGAGTGCTTCATACTCTACGAGAAATTCGCGGTATTCAGAAGCGTTATTTGGGTCTCGAATTAAGCGTTTCCAAGCGATAAAAGCTCGAAACAGCAATAGAGCTCCTATCGAGATATGGTAAGTAGTCCGCCAGAGTAAATCGTAATTGGGCAGAGTGACGCACGATAGATTGCATTTCGCTAATGCCGATAATGGAGACGGAACGATTAATTCTCGAAAGGCGTAGGCGTTGAGCAAACGGAGATAAATGTAGAGACGGATCCCTGATCAAGGAACGCGCGAACGATTGTGAGGCGAATAAACTCGCACGCGCGCGGTCGCGAATAGGATTTTGGAATTCGGCGCTACGGTTTTCAATAATAAGTGCGTAGCAACGGCGATTAAATTCTCACTACTCATATGTGCGGACATCGGTTGCTTAGTGTCATCAGGCTGAACGGAATTATTAAAATGTAACAACATGTCATGCCGTTTACTATACTGTCGACACGCGCGAGGATTTGTACAATGTTTTATGGCATGCTTTGTACTGAAACAGTTTATACAGCGTTTCTGATTTTTAACGAATTTAAAACGTTAGGATGGAGTTTGCTTTAGGAACGTAGAACATTGATACAGTAAATGGTTCGCTTTGCACAAGAACGCAGTATGTGAGGCGAGAATTTTCCTTTCGGAAGTTATCTGTGACTTCTCCATTGCGTTTGCGGGTGCAATTGCGTCGAACGTGCGAATACGAGATGCAAGAAATTGATTAAGTTCGCGGTAACGCGGGTAATCTACGATATCACCGAGCTTAAATTCCCAAGCTTTTCGCAATGAGTTTTTGTACAACTAAAAAGAAGCCAACCATCCCAATGTTTAGTAGTGCAACCAAGATTGCTCAGATCGTTTGTATCGCTTTATTGATTTGATCGCGAAGCGTGCGAAGATCGTTGGAGGTTTCTGTCGACGATAAATTGAAAAGCGATTGTAAATGTATCGTAATAAAGCGATATTTATTGTCGTACCGGGAAGCGAGAATATTTCATGTAATAATGAAATTATCATTGGTTACTCCGAGGTGGTCAAGAGCGTTACCTTTTACATACGAATACAAATAATGCATGCGCTCGACATTCGTTAAACTCTGATCATCATGGATCATCGATTTAAATTTATTGAGAAAGCTTCCCCATTTGTCAAAACTCCCGAAGGTCGACAAGTTGATCCTTGCAAGATGCGACGATGATCGAATTATTGAGACCACTTACGTCATGTGCAGCGGGATAGAGTTTGTGACAGTCCAGTACCTCAGCCATATAGTTAGCACCTTCGTGGTAATAGTCCTCACACGTCAGGAAATAATTTTGGGTGAAGTCCGCATGGATTGCCTTCAATTTCTCGTCCGCAGCTAGCGTAATTTTACAGTCCAGCTCTTGGCATCTGGCAAAGGTCTCCTTGAGGGTTACGAGGCATTGCCGTTGTAGCACGTGTCATCTTGGTCTGTCCCAGTTTCTCAAAATTAGTGAGCGTGCGAAATATGACGCCCATCTGCTGGTTTTGTATCTATCAGTTTGTCGAGAGATGATATGATTTCTAACAGAAAAGGCACGACTCGGAACGTTCGAAAATCAAGCAAAAAAAAAACAATAACTTTCCTTGGCGATGATTCGGCTCGAAGGACCAAATATGTTTTGTGTTCTATTAACGTTACGAGACACAATACAACGTTGATACGCTACGAAACTTCGGGTTGGTTCGCATTGAATATTCGGAAAAAGATTCGTTAAGCGCGAATCTCGGTCAGTGATCCGTATTGATCGGAATCGGGAAGCGAACTGAATTCTCGCACGCGGAACGTGTGCGCGATAATTATTAGGTTGTTCGGAAAGTAATTTCGTTTTTTCTTATAAAAATAAAAGACGATTTTCAATCAGACGCGTTTCAAATGATCATGGACAGTCGAATTCGATAAATTTAATCTCTCAGCGATCTCACGAGTTGTTATTCGCCGGTTTGAATCAATTAATGCCTTTATTGTGTCTTTATCAGCTTCAACTGCCCTTCCAGAACGTGGTGCATCTTCAACATCAAAATTCCGAAAGCGGACAGTTACGTAAAAGCAGTTTTGAATTAGTCGGAAAATTGAGATGTGTACACTTTACAGGTGCACATGAATTAATTTCTTTAGATGTAACTTCTCTTTTCACGAACGTTCCAATGGATATAGCGGTCGACTATATGAATGAACAATGGAATGTTATTTCCAAGGATTGCTCTCTTCTCAAGAATGAGTTTTTGAGAGCGATACAATTTGTCTTAGATTCAACCTTTTTTTCTTTTGACAATGTATTTAATTTACAAGCAAAGCTTTGGCACCCCCATGGGCTCTCCATTATCACCGGTAATAGCGGACTTAGTGATGAGGAGATTGGAGACGGTGTCCCTGATGTTGAATTTTGACATCTTGTTTTATTACAGATACGTATATGTACCACGGTGTCTCCCTCAAAAATCGACATTTTATTAGAACAATTTAATTCTTTCCATCCGCGCCTTCAGTTTACTGTTGAAAGAGGAAGAGATACAATAAATTTCCTTGACATCTCACCGTATCTATCAACAATAATCGTTTCAATTTTGAATGGTATCGTAAGTCAACGTTCTCAGATGGGTTTCTAAACTTTTATTCCAATCATTTTGACACAGAAAAAAGGCATCATTTTTTCATTAGTTAACAGAGCTTTTTTATTATCTGACGGTACGTTTCACACAAAAAATCTGACTTTTATTATTAATATTTTAATAGATAACGGACTATCCACTAAACTTCATTTTTGACACTATTAATCAACGGATTAAAAATTTAATTAAAAATAGATATACTGTATATAAGGTTTTGACTGACAATATCTGTATGAATGAAACTACCTCTTGGTTTACGGTTCCATACATTCCGCATCACACGGAGAAATTTAGAAGATTTAATAAAAACGACATCAGGATATCCTTTCATAGCCCCAACAAAATGGGTAAATACATAAAAGTACAGAAGGACATTTGTCCCCATACACCGAAAAGCAATGTCATTTACAAAATATCGTGTAACAATTGTGACGTGTCTTATGTTGGACAGACGGGCAGACAATTGAAAACCAGAATTACTGAACATCGTAATCATATCAGGCATAAAACTTCTGTCCGCTCTGTCATCACTGAACATAGGCTACAATGTAATCACGATTTTCAATGGGACAATGTCCAAATCTTAGATGAAGAGCCTTCTTATAGGAAGCGTTTGATTTCCGAAATGCTAAAGACATAGAAAAACAGTCTCAATTTGCAAATGGACACTGAAAGTTTCCACAAGACATATTTACCCATTGTAAATAAAGTTTGACTTTTTGATACTGACGACCCGTCTCCTCTCTTAGTGCGTGGCGATCCGTTTCAGCGAGCGGTCACGTTAGTTCGACACGGAATGTTCGGTTCTCACATCTGCATTCCATTCGTCGTTATGCGTTCATACCATTTATACTTATATAGATATATTAGTTTTGATTGGTTTTACTCATGTTTGCTGGTGAGTTTTCACTTTTTATTTTTATTGCGGTTGTCAAGTTATTTAAGTTTACTTTTTTCATAAGAAATCTTTTCCTTTTTTCCTTTTTTTATCAACTAGAACTTGGCTATGAGACTTGATATCATTTTGACTGTTTAATCACATGAATAATGTCGTGTTCTACATCGAGACTCAACCGAACTGCGTATTTTCGCGATCTGTGAATTTTTTTGCGACAAGTATTATTTATTATTTATTATTTTTTAATTCTGTATTTATTTTTGTTAACATCTGAAGAGGACTCAATCCGGTAGCCGAAACTTGTAATGTTATTCTTTCTCCGTTTATTATATCTTATTATATGTCTTTTCTTCATTTTAACTTTTTTGTATCTTTGATTTATGTCTTTGATTATATGTTTTCTAATGAATGCGCTGACTCTTACTTCGTCCTTCCTTTGTTCTGATTTATTTTATATACGAAGAGTCTTTATACTTTTGTTATAAATTTTAATTCTTTAACATAATATATATTATATATATATATATATATATTTCGTAATAGACAGATATATTAAATAAATATATATGATGAGGCTCGAGAGAATCTATCAGTAAAAAATGTAAAAAAGCCCATCAGAGTCTACATCATCTATTCGGATGCACAAAAATTCTTTATTTTTTGTGTGAATGTAACAAAACAAATAAAATATATG